TATTAACAATCTGCCCTAAAAGCTGACAATCGCTACGTTGCGTATGCCAAAGAGCACACCAAAACTTCGCTTACGAGCCGGTACCAAGACAAACAATCTACAAACAAGCTACAGACTGAACCGCCACCTAACACAGCGCCCGCGACAAGAATGACCGATTGGCGTCAGCTTTCGTGCGTTTCGAGATATTCTTTACGTCTGGCTGCCAGATGCTGCCAGGTTTTGCTGTCGTCACGAAACGGTTCCAAGGCGCCATCAGACAATAGCGTAATGGGTTGCATTCTAACAAACTTCGAAATTTTACAACATAGGGTTGTTTTTGAACCTTGAAAGCTCACCAACACTCACAAATCAGCTTTTCCCATCATATCTGATGCTTATCTCAATATCTTGCGATGTGGAACATTCCCTCTGAAGGGCAGTGTTCTACGTCTGTGTGTCGCTAACGCTTGCAAAGTACAGCATTATATTCTTCATAAATTGATACTTAAGCGGCTCGCTGGTCATATACACCTTCCACCACCAGCTTTGCACAATCCTAAACTGCGTGGCATGATTGTCTCACAAAAGTATCTAAAAGCTGCATTGCTCTGTTCTGCATTCCGTTATCGCATCAGCTTGAGCGACTCTCTGGGAAGTTCCTTTGCTGACAGACACAGCTTGGCTTTCACCTGTCAGAGGACAGCGACATTGCAAGCTACCCATAATTATGTATCCAAAAGATCGGTTATTCAGGTCTCTATAGCTACTCATGAATTGTCGCGGCCACGCTAAGATACGCTGTTGATTTTTCAGTCTATCTGTTCCATGATGTTGACTGCATCAAAACTTCTGAACACCTTTCTCTACAACGTGCATTTTCAAGTATGGCATATGACATACAACATGATACATCCGCACAGCCAGGAGTATATCAGTGGTACAATGGTTGTGAGCTTCGAGTTGGATGAGACGGGATGAGAGAAAATACAACGGACAACAGCGGACGGACCGGTGGTTCAACACGCCTCACACAACAACATACTGACGCGTTAGCTCAGTGGACTGCAGCTCAATAGAAGTGGCGGCTGTAGAAGGGCTGGGCCAGATGGGCCGAGTTGAAGCCGTACGAGAAGCCGGCCGGGGCAGCGGCACGGAAGGCAGGCACGCTGTAGGCGGCGTAGCCGGCCGGGTAGCCGTAGCTGGCGTACGCCAGAGGGTAGTCGGCATCGGGCGCGGCGGCGGCGGCGGCAGCGGCCGCGTTGTACAGACGGGCGTGCTCAGCCTTGGCGGCGGCCACCTCGGGGGTGTCGCTGACGGGCAGAGGAGCGCTGCGCTTCTTGCGGGAGTCAGGGGCAGCCTCGGCGGCGGCGGCAGCCTCGGCGTACAGCTTGCGGAACTCAGCCTTGGCGGCCTTCACATCAGCCGTGTCCTCGACGGGAGCAGGTCCCACCAGGGTGTTGACGGGCGCCTTCAGGTCGGCGATGGGAGCCACCGGCAGGTTGGTGCCCTGCACACGGAAGCCGGCCGCGTCCGCCACGTAGTTGACCGTCTGGGTCAGGCCGTTGGCGTCCACGTAGCTGTAGGAGCCGACGGTGCCGCCGTAGGCGTTCTTGCTCTCCGACTTGGTGCTCAGGCCGTCGGCGTAGCCGTAGCTGTAGCCTCCAATCTCGTTCTGGGCGTGATACTGAGAGCTGACGGCGGCTGGGGCGGCGTAGGTGTTGTAGTGGCCAGCGGCGTAGGTGGTGTAGGGGGCGGCAGCGTAAGTGGTGAAGGGAGCAGCAGAGTATGCGGCGTAGGGGGCAGCACGGTAGGTGGAGTAGGGGGTAGCAAAGTTGTTCCAGTATCCGGCGGCGTACGGGTATCCCGAGTAGCCCAGCCCGCTGTAGGGCAGGGCGTACTGGGCAGCCGCAACGGCCAGGACAGCGGACACTACCACCTGAAAAAGACAATGATGTTTTATGTCTGGTTCACCGCTGGGTGTTAGCTTTCCGCACCACCTCTGATAATCGTTCACCATTCATAGGAGGCAATAACGGCCATCTTTGCGAGAAAACACTATTCTCCATTTAGGTTCAACATCAGGTCTTTTAACAATTCATCTGTTTTAGATAACAATATTTGATCTTCAACAAGGTACGCGTATGTTGTTATCACGAGGGTACAAACGAACACTGATGAATCTTATCAATACCAGCATTGTTTTATTTCAACCACATTTCCGCTAAAAATACCAATTGGTGCTTAAAATGCCCTGGACCAGTACGCGCTGGTATATTCAAGGCTACCAATAATCAGGCGAAAGCTTGAAAATTCATGGAACGGTGAAGAGATATAACCGTTACGTAATCTTCAAACAACTAGTGAGAGTGCAGTGGCTCGATTTGAGATGTTAGGATGTTCCACCTAGCAACATATGCTGAATTTAACAACGTATTTTTCGAATTTAGCTGAGCTTCTGCAAAGCTGTTTCAAGTCGCGGCTAGGTCTAAGTTGTGAAATGGAGCAAAGGTGCCTAGCCTTGTTACCACGAGCTAGTAGGATCACTCACCAGGACTTTCATGGCTGAACTCGCTGGTGTCTGTGATGCCTGTGGTCCGGATGCCGGCCAGCTTTATACCGGCTGGAGCCGGTGCTGTCTCTGTGGAGCCACGCCCATGCCGACGGTGACGCTCGCACGTCACTGGAGGAGGTGTAGCCGGGCCGGCCTCGGTAGCCGGCAGTGACCCGCGGCCACCCGGCCACGCAAGGTCGGAGAGGGATCCGTTCAGTCTTTCAAAGGGCCTGTGGATGACTGCGCCATTGTGTGAATCTTAATGACGTTAGGGAAGCCTCGGTGAACGTCCTTCCTTGAAGAAAGTGTTTCAAATTTGTATGGGTTCTTAAGGTGAAAAAGCTATTCTGAAGATCATTCGGTGCAGTTCACAATCCTGGCCTTCTTAAGAACTAAATTTATCCTGCGTCTGGGCTTCACGCCCTTGGACCTATTGGACCTATTCTGAAGAGACTTTCAAGGTCACCCAGGCATCCATGGAGACATAATAACGTTATTTACGTCCTGTCATTACCATAGCTATGCGGCGATCAACGCTAACATAAGTGTTTTTGTCGAGTCGTTCATGTCTGGCGTTCGTGAGCACGACCTCTGGGCATAACGGCCGTCAATTGGCTCTTAATCAAAGTTCGTGTCAGGTGCTAAGACCTAATCAAAGAATGGCGTATTGATTATGACTAGCATGTTTACTAAATGGGAAACTTGCGCTATCTAAAGCAATTTTTTACTTAAAAGTATGGCATGAATCATAGGTAGATTATTTCATTGTATATGGTGCTTGTTTCAATAATACTCAAATCTCGAATATTCCACTCAGATGTTCTGAAACGAATGGACCGGTCGAGTTATTCAAAAGGGGAAATATATCCCTTGATTGCTCGACTACGGCACAATTGAATTCACCGACCGTTAAGCAAATGAAAACGTCATAATTGAGACCAAAGTTTACTCATTGTGTTCGGGAATTCTGCCAATTCATATATCCATTGCATTTCGTAATTTTCATCCAACTGCAAATAGGTGGCAGAGTCCAATATTTGATCCTTCTATCTCGTAGCGAATGTCAGGGCTGTCGATTTTTGTAAATTTTCGGAGTAGCCGAACCGAAAGCCCGAAAACCTACCCCAACCATATTTGTTCTCACCGGATTTAGCCCACCTCATTTTGATTAAGCGCAAGATATGTTTTTAGTTTTCGTATACTAGTCGAGTTCAAGCTAACATTGTGCGGCCCAACTCCACATCGCGCGGGGGGGGGGGCAGGTCCCGCACAAAAGGATACAAATCGACACCCGTGGCGAATGTTCATGACATGCTAATTCGTTACTTCGTTACCACGATTACTCCGTCGCCGCTAATCCGTTACTAAATGCTTGTTTCTTTACTCATTACACCATAATGCTGAAATACGATTCCGTTGTTACTTCGTCAGTGTACAGAAAGTGCAGTGAAACTCGCTTCGGGACATTGTTTTGAGATTTATTCTCAACAGGTTCAAAAACTTACAGAAATCTCTTCGCACGTTTCGTAAACTTTCTTGATCTTAGAGCGATAGTCCAACGCGCAGGCGAAAAGGCTGATCACCTACGTGTACAGAAGAGATGTAGCTTATTTCCCACTGGACTCATTAAGGCTGCAATGTAACCACACCCTCTGGAGTTGGTCAAGACGACCCTTCGAATGTTTTCCAAAATAAACACATCTTAGCGTGACGAAAGCACCCAAAACTTCACACAGTTAAAACCAATGAAATAGCCAATCTCCTAGCCCTACCAGATTACGTGCATCATGTAAGGTGCACGGCCAGTGGTAATTTCGCACGGCCAGTGGAGTGGTGGTTTCGCACGGCCAGTAGAGTGGTAATTTCACACGGCCAGTTTAGCCCCAAGGTCATACAAACGTCGCATGACACAACCAACAATGACGTTTTGAAAAGCATAGCTACTAAATAAATTAATTATGTGGTCTAGAACAACATGTTGTCTTTTGAATTCTACCAACAGTTCTGAGGGGCTTATTTCATTGTATATCACTATTGTTTGTATATATGTAAATACGTAACAATTTCTTTAAGGCGCTTTAATGGTCGCTATTTAGTCATCATTTCGAGCATTATCGGTAGTTTTACTGTCTCTTGTAATGCTTTCCTCACTTTTACTTATTTGTTCCACATCTAGTTTTTGTTCAACCTCTCGCTTTTAATTCTGGTTTCGATCACATCAAACTACCTCATCATCTTTCCCTACAAAATATATTTGCATGTATGACATATGACAAAGACCATGGTATGCAATAAGTTGCATGAATATAGTCACACGCCCAGAGGCATATCAGTGATACGAAGATTGTGAACTTCGAGTTGGATGGGACGGGATGAGAGAAAATACAACGGACAACAGCGGACGGACAGCTGATTCAACACGCCTCACACAACAACATACTGGCGCGTTAGCTCAGTGGGCTGCAGCTCAATAGAAGTAGCGGCCGTAGAAGGGCTGGGCAAGGTGGGCCGAGCTGAAGCCGTACGAGAAGCCAGCCGGGGCGGCGGCACGGAAGGCAGGCACGCCGTAGGCGGCGTAGCCGGCCGGGTAGCCGTAGCTGGCGTACGCCAGAGGGTAGTCGGTGTCGGGCGCGGCGGCGGCGGCGGCAGCGGCCGCGTTGTACAGACGGGCGTGCTCAGCCTTGGCGGCGGCCACCTCGGGGGTGTCGCTGACGGGCAGAGGAGCGCTGCGCTTCTTGCGGGAGTCAGGGGCAGCCTCGGCGGCGGCGGCAGCCTCGGCGTACAGCTTGCGGAACTCAGCCTTGGCGGCCTTCACATCAGCCGTGTCCTCGACGGGAGCAGGTCCCACCAGGGTGTTGACGGGCGCCTTCAGGTCGGCGACGGGAGCCACCGGCAGGTTGGTGCCCTGCACACGGAAGCCGGCCGCGTCCGCCACGTAGTTGACCGTCTGGGTCAGGCCGTTGGCGTCCACGTAGCTGTAGGAGCCGACGGTGCCGCCGTAGGCGTTCTTGCTCTCCGACTTGGTGCTCAGGCCGTCGGCGTAGCCGTAGCTGTAGCCTCCGAGCTCGTTCTGGGCGTGGTACTGAGAGCTGACGGCGGCCGGGGCGGCGTAGGTGTTGTAGTGGCCAGCGTAGGTGGTGTAGGGGGCAGCAGCGTAAGTGGTGATGGGAGCAGCAGAGTATGCGGCGTAGGGGGCAGCACGGTAGGCGGAGTAGGGGGTAGCAAAGTTGTTCCAGTATCCGGCGGCGTACGGGTATCCCGAGTAGCCCAGCCCGCTGTAGGGCAGGGCGTACTGGGCAGCCGCAACGGCCAGGACAGCGGACACTACCACCTGAGGAGGAAGAAGAAGAGAAATGAAGCATATGAATAACATGCCACCTAATCTCAGGATGGCAGGAACCAGTTAGAATAAAGTGGCATCGCTTATTCCATATTGCTTGCTGAGGACATCGTGTCCCAACGTTGTGCACTCAAGAGCGTTCCAATGACTGCGACGTTAACGTTTCGATAACGGAAGTGTCTGCCACCGCTCCCGACAGAGCCCTGCCACCGCCGCAGGCCGCCTCTCGAGCCTCGCTCCGCCGACTTACCAGGACTTTCATGGTTGAACTCGCTGGCGACTGTGGTGCCGGTGGTCGGGCGTCGGCCGGCTATATACCCGGCGAGGCAGGACGCGCTGGCGGCCACGCCCTGCTCCCTCTCAGCCGCACATCGCCCGGCGCGCACGTGACGTCGCGACGCCGACCTTGGGAGCGCCGCCGCAGGCTCACCGGACCCGTCCTGTCATGGCCGGGGGCGCTGGGGCCCGGCCCGGCCTGGGCGCATCCGCCATGGTCCGTTCGAAGAACGCGTCGCGGCATTGGGTGCCACCGGGCTCAGTGTTGCACCCTGGTGGTGCTTAATTGGTAAGGCATGTGGCTGCAACTCTCTTGTGTACGTGCCAGTGAGCTAGTATTCTCCAGTGAATGCGGATGCGACGGATTCGTGCACGGAAGATTATGCGTTTTAGCTTGAGCGGCAATTGTTCTGTTCGTGGGTATCTAGCGTACGTATCCGGTAGCTAACATCTGGCAACCATTGGTAACAGCTTCATGCAGCTTTCAGCAGCAGGACGTATCGTGACGTTGAAAAAATTGTTAAAAACAGATGCGCTTAAATTAGTATTTGTAGACAAACCCATCGATAAGACGTCATTTGAACGCAACTTTAAAAGTGATAGAAATAGAGTTATCACATCCCACTTCATATGAAAACATGAAAATCGCGGCAGGTCAAAACAACGCGCAACGGGGATCGACACCTGATTCTTATTCTGATTGCGCGGTGTCGAAACCAATGCAAGTTGACGGTAGGTTTGTGCACGGTTCTGCTTAGGTGGATTTTATTCCAAATCCGAATCACGTTTTGTTTTTGAGAAGTTTTGGAACAGTTAATGAATAGGTATTGAATATTGAATTGTATTGAATAGAATAAATGTTATGGGCATAATTCACACTACTCAGTTCTTCTTCCGCTGACGTTACTTCTTCCGCGTCCGAATTGCAGGGAATGTTCCACATTTATATGGGGGTTTCAGTCGATATAGGGTTTAGGAGATCATTCGGTGCAGTATACAGTTCTGTCCTTTTTAAGACCTAAAGCCCTCTAGTTTCTGAGTTACACACCCTCGAAGATATGCAGACCATTTTGAGCAGACTATTTCAAGGTCATTCAGACATGCATGACGCCATAGCAACGCTATTCAAATACTGTTAATGCACAGGTCATGCGGCGTTCAAGGGCAAAGCTAATATCATTGTCGAGCCCTTCTGATCTGGTGATCGTGAGCACAATCACCGGTGAAAAAGCATCGTTTCTGTCACCGACGAACATTGGAACAATATAAATTGTCACCTGGGGCCAAATTTATTGAAAACGGATACAGTATAGTTATAAGTGCGTTAAACCGGACGACACAAGGGGAATAAAGTGCGCTAAGTGATGAACATCATGAATATTTTTGTTTCGGAAGGTTCATTTGCACGGAAGTATCATTTGCTGACCATGCTAAAAGCCCCGCCAGTTAGGGCGTAGGTTGTAGTGCAATAGCAGGCGTGAGAGTGGTAAGCACATCGGTTCGGTTCAAACCTAAGACGTCGCACGTACAGAGAAAGGCGAGAATATGCTTGGTCAGCGGCCTTATCACAACCACAAATGGCGCGTGACGAACCCCAGTCATTATCTCGCGACATAGTCGGGCAATATCAGTGTTGGAAAAGAGCTCTTACAGGATTTAGTCCGTGCATACACAAATTTGCTCCACCGCTTTACTATCAGTTGTTTACTGTTTTTTGACGTCACAAACTGTGTTACCTTGAGCTGAGAGTTGCTATGTTCTTTCATGTCACAGCTATGGCCTGTCTGTAACTGCTGTGTCTGAAATGATATTTCGTAGTTTTCCACAATGCCCATGCTCAGATTTTGCAATCCGCGCCTGACAAAGTTGTACTCCCCAATCCGGAGCCGCCAGCCAGAAATCCAACACTGGATAACACATTGCATGGCCTGGTTTACATGGATGACGGGTCAATGCCCGAGTAACGAGCGGTGCTTAGCGAGATTGGTCGATTATTTCGGACCTGGGGCTTTGAAACTGTTTCGTTATATGGCGACATTGTTTCGTTTTTAGCAACGATGCTGATTTCAGACTGATTCAGACCAGCGATGCTGATTTCAGACTGATTCAGATCAACGATGCTGATTTCAGACTGATTCAGACCAGCGATGCTGATTTCAGACTGATTCAGACTAGCGATGCTGATTTCAGACTGATTCAGACCAACGACTGATTTCAAAATTCCCACTGCTCTCCACCAGCATTTCGGCAGCGTGCTTATCATGACCGCCCATTGCAATTCTGCGCTAACCTGCTATGGGTAAATTCGCGTACAACACATCCTATACGCCAGCCATGGGCCTAGGACTTAATGACCATATAGAACTAGACATGAAATACTTATTGCATTGGGCCTTACCGTACCATTATAATGTTTTGCATCTTAGCCGAGTGTGCGTGGTCAGTTCCACATCACAGAGGGCGGTGAGCCGCTCACCGGAGAGTCGCTATTTCGATTTCTGGGACTGACGAATGTTTGGCACAGGAGCGGCCGGGTGTCCGGCATGGGAGGAGCTGTGTGTCCGGGTTAGTGAGCGGTTGTCGGGCACAGGAAAGGCCGCGTGTCCGTCACAGGACTGATCGCGTGTCCGGCACATGAGAGGCCGCATGTCCGGCACAGGAGCAGCTGTACAGCACTAGGGCGGCTTTGTTTTCGGCACAGGAGAGGCCGCGTGTGCGGTACGGGAGAGGCCGCGTGCTTGGCACAGAAGCGGCCCATCAGCACTGGAGTGGGGGCGCCTTCGGCACTGGAACTGCCGCAGTGTCCGGCACATGAGAGGTCACGTGTCCAGCACTGGAGTGGGTGCGCGTTCGGCATTAGGGTGGGCGCACGTTCAGCACACGAGAGGCAGCATGTCCAGCACAGGAGAGGCCGCATATCCGGTACAGGAGAGGTCACATGTTCAGCACTGGAATAGGTGCGCGTTCGGCATTAGGGTGGGCGCTCGTTCAGGACACGAGAGGTAGTATGTCCGGCAAAAGAGAGGCAGCATGTCCAGCACAGGAGGCCGCATATCCGGCACAGGAGAGGCCACATGTCCAGCACTGGAGTGGGTGCGCGTTCGGCACTAGGGCGGGCCGCGTTCGTCCGGTACTGGAGCAGCCGCGTGTCTGACACTGGAGAGGCGGCGTGTTCGACGCAGTACTTGGAAAGCATTGGTACCGGGCTGCGCTGTGCTTAACCTTGGTCCTGATTTGCCGTTTTCTTCATGACGAGAGCTGACGGAAGGAAGGGGCGGGGCGATGCGACCATCCTGCCGTTTCCAAACTAAGACAGATAGAGCCTTTTGGAAAGAAACACTGGATGGGACTCAACATCCCCTTATGATAAGCAATCAGTTGCATGTTGCTTGGTCAATAATTGGCTCTACTAGGCCAGGTCAAAGGTCAAATTGCCCCAGACATTGACACTTTGAATTTCACACGCCCTTACGTATGAGATCGTGCTCCCGCGGTAGCAAGGATTTTCAATAGCTGTGTTTATACACATACTTGTGATGCATTATGCAGACATCCGTTGACGTGGCGGTGTTACGTGCATCGTCGGTTCTCGCCCGTCGCCCGCGCCAGCCGTGGACCGCCGTGCGGTGTTCCCCAAAAACCAGCAACTTACCAGACAACTGAAGAATAAAAACTGAAGGCGTTCCATTTTCAGGAAAATTTCACCATTGACAATTTTTGACCTAAGATCATACGTCTTACCAGTCGCGATATCTAATTAAGACCATTCTATTATTTGTCATCATGCAGTTGATATTTTTACTGGTGTAGGCTTGGTGGCATTACATTGATAACAATAGCAAAAACGATGCCTTAAAAAATCTGGCTGAGATCATTTAATAAAGATACAGGTAAGCATTGCATGCACGCGCGTGAAGCTTGAAGACACCCCATGTTCAAAATCTGATATGAACCCCCATGGTATTCATGGGTAAACATTGTCTGGATCCAAAATATCCACGAGATCCAACATTACTCTTTGCTGATATTGTTTGGATGTAGTGGGGGGGGGGGGGGGTTACGACAACATAATAGGCTTTGCAGAACTCCCAGAAGGTGCCAACCACGCATCAACAATTTGGGCACTTTCAGCGGTAGTTTAGGCCCAACTCAATGATTGGTTCTTTGAGTGAATGCTGATTACAGCCCTCGCGATTTGATACTCACAACTGTATACTATCCAGCAGAAGTATCATCAAGTCCACAATGAAATGCAGCTCCCCCTGTTAACCAATTGCCGTCATAAATGCAAATAGCGTGTGTGTGTGTGTGTGTGTGTGTGTGTGTGTGTGTGTGTGTGTGTGTGTGTGTGTGTGTGTGTGTGTGTGTGTGTGTGTGTGTGTGTGTGTGTGTGTGTGTGTGTGTGTGTGTGTGTGTGGTGTGGGTGTGGTGTGTGTGGTGTGCGTGTGGTGTGGTGTGCGTGTGCGTGTGTGTGTGTGGCCTTGCTTCAGTGAAAACCTAACCGTGCAGGACAATTTTGGCCGACGGAACATTGTGGAGATGTTATCGTGCATCTACTAGCCTGAGGGAACAGAAACGTGATTGTTGCACTCATACAAATGCTTAGCAGGGAATGTCATGGTGCATTAATACTATCGGTCAGGAACTTGCAAACGTGGAAAAGACATAGGATGAAATGAAAAGGCCAGCTCTCCCCTCAAACAATGCAGCTTTGAAGTACTGACACCTGCAATATCCCAACTTAATTCTCTGTAATCCCAGCAGCAGCGAATACTTAAAAAGTCCCCATGTTATATCTTATGTTGCCACCCAAACGCTTGTTAGCTTACCTTTTTAAGACAACCGCTTAATGCTCTAAAAATTGTGGATCAGCCAAAGTGGGATCGCATGAATTATGATTCTGTGACATGCTATGAGAAGTCCAAAGTCCGAATCTAAGTCCGAATCCGATCCAGCCCAACAACCAGTGGAGCCGAATCCGCATCTGATTCCGACTGACGTCATGATCAAACCCAGCGTTGTGTTCGTTCCTGCTGGAGCCACGCCTGGGCCCGGTTGACGGAGGAAGAAGCGGACAGCCGCTCTGACGAAGACATGGGCTGACGAGTACCGTCGGGCATGCACTCTCGCGCGCAATTTATGAGTCATTGGGGATGTTTTCGAGGACTGAAATCAAATCTGGAAAACCGGAGCAGATAGGGGCATGAAACAAAATC